CCTTGCCTGTTAATTTAACAAAGGATATGATGGTGAAAGAACGGGAAAAATATTTACTATATGTATTTAAAACTGACTAATCAATAACTATTTGTAGATGCATTTGATTGAAAAATATAAAGGAAATTACTAGAAGAAGAGTCTAGAAGAGTAAGAAAAAAAGGTTGCTTAAGGGAAAAGGTTCAAGAATAGGAAGGTGAAGTAGGGATCTTTATTCTGCTGAAAGCTTTTGGCAATATTTGATTTAAAATACATGTGCATTAGTCATCATGATAATAATGAATCTTGGATAAGAATGAGCAGAGACCTAAAATATTGGTGACCAGAACTGGGCTGTTGTATACAAGGAGTATGGTTAGCTTATTTAAATTTTAAACACATGTTCAAATGTAGCTCATAGCTACAACCCCTTTTAAATTAAAAACTCTGTGAAGTTAGAAAATGTTGGACTATTTATCATCTACGATGTTGAAACAGACATCAGGCACTGCCATTATTAACAACAGCACCTTCTGAGTGGTTTTTTAATGAGGATTAAATGAGTTTCTGAATGTAAGGTGTTTAGAAAACTTCATTGCATTCATAAAGTGATAATGAATACTAGATATTGGTATCAATACATAATTTAAAAATGAGCTTTCTGTTTTATTTTAATTATGAAGCTATTTAATTAATCAATGTCACCATCAATTAATAGTTATCCATTGAGATTTCAAAACATGAGGCAAATTTCAGTTTGGGGGTTACTCTCTCTCTTCCAAGGGCAAACATACTGTTTTATCCAGAATATTTGTTTTATAAGAGTACATATACAGTATTTTGTTTCCTTCTAAACAAAATTATATTCGAACTACTTGGAGGTAATATTAATTTTTAACAGACTCCATAATCCCCACTTAAAATTATTCTGGAATTTATAGACTAGATTTTTACTTGAACTTACAGATGTCACTGATAGTTGTTTGGTGTTAAAGTGTTTAAGTCTCCATTTAGCTATTCTTCAAATATGCTATTGTAAATATAAGATACGAATCCTTAAGACAGAACAGTGAAATTGAGACATATTTTCTTACAGAAATGGGAACAAGGAATATATTTTAGACATTACAAATCAAATTTACAGACTTTTCTGGTGCTCAGAAAATGAAATAAAGTTAATTTATTTTCTAATTAATAATTGATGTTCTCTAATAAAGACTTAAAATGTTATTAAATTGTTATTAGCTCCCATTTATTTCCCGAATTTTTATGTATTAACAAACTTCTTTTTAAATTTTGTGTCACTATCTAAAGCTCTGTGTGAATTGTGTATGTATGTCAGACATTTTATATATGCTTAGACATATTACTTAATTTCTTCATATTTGTAAAAGACCATATGTACTTCCAGAAGTCAATAGATAATGTACCATTTTCAAAAACTCCTTTAAAAAACATTGATTATTACATATTTGACCTCTTTCGGATGTGTGTCTGACCCCAGAGTGCTGATTTAAAACCTCATCTTACTTGTTCGTGCAATAAAGACTATGTAGTGTGAACTGTTAAATAATTCCCAATATTTATGACACACTTGGATAAACAGGAAATGGGTTACTTTCCTGTAAATAATGGACAAGTCCACTTTAATAACACACCACAGTGCCACCTTAGAAATTGCTCATTGATTAGAAGGAGAGAGACCAAAATGTTTTCAAATTTTACATGGCTTTATAGTATTGTAGCTGGAGATGGTAAGAAGAAAAGGAATCGCTATAGGCTTCTATCCTGAACTCTATAATGTGTTCCCCCCCCCCCTTTGGGCCTCTCAATTAAATCCTTTAAACAATTAAGATAAGTAGGGAATATGCTTAAAGAAGCAAGGGTTATCAAGGGTTGATCATTTGTTGACTAGATCATTAATAAAAAAATAAATTCGTGTGTATGATATGAGATCCATGGATTCTAGTTTGATGTGTCAATTTGAGAGTGACATTTCCAAAAGTGGTTGAGTAGCAGAGCAGATGCTGTAGTGACGAATTAGCTTGCAGTGAAAATTATACTCTTTGGAGTGACCAAAAAAAGGAGAATTGGAGATGTGTGAATGTGATTTTTAGTGGACTGGTGATCTTTTGGACTGTTTCATGTTCCCCAAATATATTTTCCAGAATTGTAGGTTCCTCCGGGAATTTTACTAATTTATGTATATGAATATAAGAGGGAGAAAGAAAAGTCTCACAAATCAGCTCAATTAAATGAAGCAACATGTACTAAAAAAAAATCCAGTATCTATAATTTGCACAGTCATTTTGAGATGTTGCATAAAACATGTAGACCTCACCAACAATTTACTTTTTTACCATGATCTATTTACTTTTTTACCTTTCATGGAAATTAATCTTGCAACTAACTCATATCAATGATTTATTTGGCAACTGCTTTGTATATTCTCTAAGGTGCTTTATATTTATATTTTATTTCTAACAGTGTTCTTGCTGCTATATCCAGGGATACTACTCTAGACAAATCTAATGATAGACAATTTACATTAAATATGTAAAAATGTTCCTGAGCTGATAGGCCATCTCACTTCCCTCTAAACCAGTGGTTCTCAATCTTGGCTGCAGATTAGAATCACCTGGGAATCTTTTTAAAATCCTGATTTCTGGGCCTCATCCTCTGGAAATTCTGTTTCTTTGTTATGGGGTGGGGCCACAACATTAGTAACAAAGAAACAGAATTTCCGGAGGATGAGGCCCAGAAATCAGGATTTTAAAAAGATTCCCAGGTGATTCTAATGTGCAGCCAAGGTTGAGAACCACTGCTCTAAACCAAATTGCCTCTTATATAATACAAGGACTCTATCAACTCAATTACATGTGATCACAGTAAATTCTTTCTCACACACACACTTGTACACATGCACACAAAAGAAAGAAATTTGCTGATAGGTCCAAGTAATACTTTATATGAGTATTTCCACTTCAGAGCTGAGATCTTCCTTTATAGTTGTTATCAAGCAGACAAAAAACATTTTCCTAATTAAATTTTTTATTACTTCCAATGGAGTTTTTAATGAACAAAGAAATAGTCAATGTGCAAAGGAAAGAGACAAATAGCATGCCTAATTCATAGAGTATAACAGAGATTCCTGAATAAACAAGAATTTACTGAAACAAAATAGAATAAATTTCCTTAGGTACTAGGGTGTTATAGTTACAGTCTCAGGAATAAAACTGTTCGGAAGATTGCTTTTCAGTCACTTTGCATTAAATGTGTTGTTTTAATTAGTTTCCCTGTAGAATATAAAGATACTTTTATCAGTTTATTACCTTGTCTTAATTCATCTAATAATATGTTTAATGGCAGAAGTCTGACTACTAATTAACCTGAAGGAGAAAAAGAAATCTGAATGAAAAATTCAAAAATTGGTACATTTAATCTTAAATATATTGTTTTGTTTTTAAGTTCTCTTAATTCAATGCTTCAACATGATTTATGTGTTGGTTATATGTAATTTTCAGGAAATCCATAAAAGACAAAGAGCAAATGCTGTTAGTTTATCTAAACAACGTAGTTGTTTGTACTGTGTGAGCACAGGGGAATAGAACAGGGATGACCTGGTGAATGAGGAGACCCAGGAGAGAGAACAAGAACTTGAGTTCCTCTTTTCACAAATATGAACTTTCTTTGTATTTACAGTATTAAGAAATAACATTTACAATTCTGGTTCTAGCTAAGTTCCTACCAACTCCACCATCTCACCATCTATGGGCTTTGGTTTGTTAACCCTTTAATCTTAGTTCTTAGGTTGAAAGATAGGAGTAAAATGAGAATAAGATACCTATAACACTAAAATAAATGTAATAAATATTACAGTTGCTTATAAAGGTGTTATTAATTTTATTACGTATTCAAAATATTTAAACCCCAAAATTATGTAGATGAGGGGAGATATTGTTGAAAATTCTATCTATGAGGACAGTGAGGATGCTTCTAAAGTGAAGTACCAATTTATTACTTTATACAAAATGAAACATGTCTATTGAATTATTCTCTGTTGAACACAGTCATCTGTAAGGTTGCAATGATACAGAAGAGTTCTCCATTATCTCTATTTCCAGTTACCCCAACACACACACACACACACACACACACACACACACAGCCTTCACAGCCCACAACTACAAAAGTTTGTGGAGAACTGTGCCAGTAAGAACTAATAAAGAGAAAATAATAAACAGCTGCTAATACTATAAGGCCATCTCACATCAGTATCTAATTTAATGTGTTATAAGTGATGTATTTATTTTTTGCTTTTATCTGAAGTTTTAGTCAAATTGCCTCCGAGTTAGGTGTATAACAGGCAATTATACTTATAACTATACTTACAAATTCTATATGAAACATTTACATATATCAGGGTCATCACTTTTATACATTCATAATATCAATCGTTTCCAACAATTCAATTAGTTAATTCGTTACTTTTATGCTGGTGTAAGCGTGCATCAATTTAAGGAGTTTGTGGATGAGGTAACAATAAGCCATGCAAACAGATCCTGAGGTGGAAGTTGATACTTATGATTAGAGTTTGTTTTCTGCTGTTTATAAGACTATCAGACCAAAAAATACAGATTATTACACAGCCCAATTATTTGCAAGTAGTCTTTTGTTTCTTTTGGTGGCAATTTACTCAAATATTAAATCTCCAAGAAAATATTATCCTTCTAAACATATTAGCAATATCAAAGTTTCAGGCTAATAAACATTCATTAATATCAAAAGTAGACAACAAGGATGCATGCAGTTTTCCTGTCAAATTTCTTTCCCCCCAAAATGTTTACTTTAGCAAAATGACCTGCCAGCTAAAGAATGAAGTCCAGGAAATGAGGACAAGTTGCAGGGCTGTTAGCTGGGAGGGGGTTATGCGATAATTTTATACAGGTGGTTGATGGTTGATGGAAGTGGAGGGAATTCATGAGGAATGGCAGTTAGTATTTGCGAAGGAAACACTCTACCTGTGTAGCCCAGCGAATTGTCATCGTTATCAGAGGTGGGGTTTGGCGTCCCGTTGTCGGTGCCCCTCTCTAGGTCCTCAGGGTCTGTCAGAAACAACATCAGAGCTGCTGATGGGGTCACAGTAGTAACAGTGGTGGCCATTTCGATCACAGCATGTCCAGACACAAGTAAATCCACATGTGACAGCAAAACACACAAGGACAGCACGCAGCACACACCCTCCGCGCCCCTCCCGAGGCACACTAAGCTGTGCGAGGGCCTCAGCATCCTGGCTTACAGTTACTGCTTCTGCATCTCCCTAATTCTTTGCTCTGCCTGCACCTTTGCTGCACTTCAAAGCTGGGAAGGGCTCGGACTGCCCTCTGTGAGGCCGCCGCGCGGACTGAGGGAGCATATGGGAGAGGGAGAGGGCAGGGTGGCTGAATGCGAGCATTGCTAATTTTCCACCTTATTGTTAATCAAAGCTATTGACTGTGATCACTCCCCATCATCGCTTCATCTCTTGCCAATTACAGACTCAAGGGACTGTACCTCATATGGGTGGAGGGAAGCTGGGGGGTGGGGGGATAGGGTCTTGTCAAATAGGAGGGCGAATGATTAAAATGTCATACTTTTCCTGAGCAACAGTGAAGAAAGTGGAGCAGCATCACCGCTTTCAGCGAGCAACATTTGTCATCTTAGAGAACTGAGATACATTTACTGAAAAGCACGTGATAGCAGAACGACTCCTAACTTTGCACATTGCGGCTTGAATATTTAAAACCATTCCACATTGTTGAGATTCTGCATTGCAATCATTCAGATGAGTATTTTCATCCATCTATTGTGATTTTTCTTGAGTGGAAGAATTGATTTTTGTTTTTCAAATTGCACATTCATTTTCCGAGGCAGACTGTTAGAGCTGAGGCTGAGCCTAGCAAGACCGGCGCTCCACTACCCTGCAGCTGAGCAGCAGCACAGAATTGCAGGGAGAAGCCCGGCCACACCACTCGGAATTCCTCTTGAGCTCAGTCACTCTAGGCATCACACCTACCCGTGTTCGATAAATATGAGCGCAGACGCCGCTCCACTGCTGATGAGCCGACAGACACAGTGTGTACCTCCTGAATCTAATATCACAGAATCATAGGTCATTCAGGTGGTGGTGCCTGCGGCCTCTTTGTCACCTTAAATAGCACCTACAGAGGATTTCTCCTCGGAGGGAGGCAGCGGAGGGAGGCAGCGAGTGCACGCAGGGAATGCCCCTTAAGAAACATCACAGGGGTCATTCATTTTGTGTCCCTGCCCTTTTCCTTTCTCTTTTCTTCCTTCCTTCCTTCCTTCCTTCCTTCCTTCCTTCCTTCCTTCCTTCCTCTTTCCTAGGCGTACACATTTTATCTTAGACGCAGCTATTTAAATTGCTTTTAGAAATGATTTAGGGATGACTTAAGACATTTTTAGAGAGGCTCAAACATCTAACATCAGTCTACTTCCTGGGTTTTGTATGTAGCATACATACAAAATTGCTCACTTGATCTCACTGCCTTCCTCTCCCACCCAGGTGTCATATAATTACCCTGATGTGGCTAAGATGGAGAGGAAAGAAAGAAAACATTCGGATCTGTGAAGACTAAAGGGGAGAGTGCCATCATTGCTTTGGTCATCCTTGCCTTGCCAGAGATGGATGTTGTCATTTTCTCCTTAAAATCAACTCTTGAAGTGAGTGGGTTATCAGGGAAACAGTCCACTTTCTACCCCTCCAGCCTGTTAACTTATTTGTATGCGCAAGTTGTTTAGGTCAGAGTTTTAATCACATCAACAGGAGAGAAAGGAAAACTGGCATTTCTTTGTATTTTGAGGCAGTATTAGCCCAAGGTTCTGCCACAAAGTAAGTAACCTTCTCATGCAAGCTTGCTGAATGAAAGAGGTTGATGGAGGAAGGTAAGTGAAAGGTGCTGGTTCAAATGGATCAAAGGGCATCTAAAGGGACCTTTCCTGTTTACCCACGATCTTGTTTTAAAACACATGACATGGAGGGACCTGGAGAGTATTATGCTAAGCCAGTTAGAGAAAGATAAGTATCACATGATCTCACTCATATGTGGATGCTAATAAACAAAATAAACTGATGAACAAAAATAGATCCAGAGACATAGAAGCATGATGGGACAGACTGCGGAATCTCAAAGAGAAGGGGGCGGTGGGTGGGTGGAAAGAGATCAACCAAAGAACATATATGCATATACGCATAACCCAAGGACATGGGCAATGGGGTGGTGAAGGCCAGGGGCAGGGGTGGGGGTGGGCTAGCAGGAATCAATGGGGGGAAAAAAGAGGACATTTGTAATACTTTCAACAATAAAGATTAAAAAAACTGAAAAAACAATGTGTTTAGAGTCACCTTAATTTTAGACTATTTTTTCTTAGTAACAAATACACCACTTCAAATGAAATATTACTTTCAATTTATGAGGAATGCTTCATTTAATGTTGATATCCACATTTTTAACCACTCTTAAAAATACAATAAAAATCCATCCAAATCCGCAACATAAGCTACATCAGCTTGTCTACAGAACGCCCCGGACTTTGTGATAGGCCTGTGCATTTTTGTTATTGAGCCCTCCCTGAGAATGAGGATATTATCACAACAGCATGAAGATGAGGAAAGGAAGTTCACTAACATTTGAAAGGAGATACCTAAATCTGTTTGAAGTAGATTTTCACTTATGTCTAACATCCTAAGTAGTTTCTAAATTTGCTTCCTGTTCCCACCCAGCACCCTTCTGACCCCTTCTTAGTCTCAGGGAAGGATAGACTTTGCCTTAATCAATGAATCTTACCATCTTACAGTGCACTCTATGTACCTTGTACTGCTTTTAATTAGTAATATGCTGGACCTACAGGAAACAAAAGGTCCAATTTTTACTAACTTCAGTCATTTTTCCCTTCCCCCTCCTTCCTGTCAAAAGATAATTATAGCAGAGACAATCACCTGACACACTGCAATAAGCTGGAGAACTAAGCCAAAGACAGTCCAAGATACAATTATTTAAAGTTTTTGTTAAATAACATTGATTGTGAGAGTCATAGAATGGAACATAATATGACAAGATGTTATTAAGTGCTTATAATGCCTAGAGGAGGTGTTCTTATGTTCCAAGTGTGTTTTAGGGCTGCCCAGGCCTGAGCTGATGTATGTGTGGTTGTAATGGATAAAGAGGACAACCATCTCATCTGGAAGTGCACTGGCGCGGGGGCACTTAGTTCTGTGTGCCTGTGGCCCAGTTAGACTGGGCATTCCAGGGGGTCAGGTGCTCTGCCTCACATTTGTACATCTACCTCTTTCCAATGTATCTATAGCATAGCACATGCTTACATAGATCCTTTTGCCTGTAGGATAATAAGAGATGGTAACCAAAAATGCAGCTCTCCATCTGAAACAGTTTGGAAATACAATTGCATTTGTATTATAGTAAAAAAAAAATACTTGATATACATTAATTCAAATGCTGTTGTACTCTCTGTCTCCATGAAAGCATATAAAACATGTCTTGGATCATTAAATCATAAATATTCTGGTTTCTAAACATGTCAGCTGGACGCTCACAACAACCTTCCATCAGATACACTGATTCCTCCGAATTTAGTGGCCATTTGCCTTCGCTGCTTTTTAAGGCACCCAATGTAAAAGTTCCATAGTCCTTTTATAATAGAAAGCATGTCTTTCAGAAAAGTTTACTCTTAAATATAATAATTAATGAAAGGTGATGCAACTTTCTTTAATGGTAAATTAAATGGTAAATTTGAAATTTGTTAATGTGTATAATAATAATTTTACTGAGTTTTCCCTATGCCAAAATATAATGGAAATTTTGAATTACAAGAATCATAACATTGCAATCCCTATAAAATCATTCATTTTGACAAGGATTATCAATGGATATTAAATATATTAGGTGAAAAATTGTAGGCAACAGCATATTTCACAGTGCTAGAATATCACTCCAGAACTTATTCACTAACTTCGAAGGGGAAAATATACTTTTATAATAGCCTAGAGGTCTGGTGCATGAAATTCATGCCTGGCCTGTGCCCTCTCACAGTGCGAGGGTCCCATGATCAATATCCCCAAAGAGGTAGGCCCTGCCCACTCACCGGAGGCTCCTCGATGGATTGCCTCACCTCCAGGAGCTGCGAGGTGCTGGACCCACCTCTGCACCATGCACGCAGTGTCAAGTCCCCACCCACTCGCAGGTACCCGCTGTGCATGCAGCCTCCTGGGGATGGATTGTTACGGTGTGAGGGCCTCACAGCATGAGGGTGTGATGACCACATAGGCTTTTATTAGTATAGATAGATCTAGCAGTCACTGCTTGAACTCAGTAATCAAACTCAGTATCATCAATAGTGTGAAGACAATTGTGTAATACAATATACAATATCACCTATGAAGCATTCATACTAACAATTCTTGCCTTGCATCCAAACAAGTTTTAATACCCAGTTTAAAATCTACAGAAAATAAATGTGGGCTTAGGATACACATGCAAAATAATTAAGGGGTGAATTATCTTTAACTTACTTTCAAATGTTCCAAAAAGTATATTGAGAGAAGAACTAAAGCAAATATGCACAATATTGAGAATTGCTCAATCTATTATGAAAAACACTCAAAAATGTTTAAAGGATGGTGGATGAAGTCTGGGTGGTCTAAAGCTTTCCCTATAATGTGCAGCTGAAATTTACACAATAATTCTTCTTTTCACTGGTGAAATGATTAAAATAGGTAATATTATTTTTGTAGCATGAAGACTCATATTTCACTCCCCTTCAACTCATATTTCTCTAAATGGTTCATCATATTATGGGGCCAGTGTTGCATTGTGGAAAAGTAGAAGCCTGAGAGAAAAAAAAGTAGGTTGCTTAAATTGCTTCACTTATTTAATTTTAATTGGTTTGGTATTCACAGCTCAAAACATTTGAGTTTTCATCTTTATCCTTCCTTTCTGTCATATTCAGTTATATAAATATATGTTAAAAAGAACAGCTTCTTCATTTTTCCCTGCTGTAATGTGTCAAACTGGTTTCTTTATAGATTTGC